GGAATGACGTCACTGCATAGTATTAGTCTTTTTATTCCTGTAACTTTGTTAATTTTGAAGATATTCAAATTTTGTTTGCACATATCAGTTCCAAAGGTTTCGAGGAATCAATTCAAACACTAAAAAAAAATGGTCAAGTTCCCTATTTTTATTATCTCGAGCCAGTACCACGTACCTAAAGGTCTGAGGACACAGAGCGAAAACGTCGGTCATAGCCCCAAGCTACTGCAGGTCAGAGTCTGAGTCTGGGTCGTCTGAGGATATCTGCTCTGACAAAGATACGATACGCAACCCCTTGAGTGTTGCTAGATCTCCTATCGTGCACCTTTCCACGTGTGGATTGGGCGATTGGGGCACGCTCTCTAGATATAGAGGGGTATCGGGAAAATAAAATACCCAGGGTGAACAAAATCTAGCATAACCGCAACGTCTGTCCACAGATTGGGCGGTTGCAACCGGCGCACAGTGCGGCGGATTTGAATTCTAGCGGGACAAAACCGAATTTTTTAGAAACAAGGTAAAAAAAGTTTGTTGATAAGAATAGATAGTAGACATTCTAATTGATATAAAAATTCAACAATTATTGTTTTGGATTGTATATTCTTTGTATTTTGATAAGCTTATATCAACCCAATTTAGTCGTTTTCTGCTCAGCTTGGCAGAAGTCATACGAAAATAAAAATGTATTAGTACGAATACGTTCTATTCAAAAACCAAATTATGTTTCAGATTGGTAAAGGTATACTGTAGTTATTTTATTCTCGAAAAAGCTCCGTGACTTTGTTCTACAGATATCAAACTTTCACGTTTTTTTCAATTCTCGCCATATTGGGTGAAGTAGATCTGTTGAGTTACCAATAGTTACCACCAAGAAGTATTGAGCAATTTTGATGCTACAATATTTGTAGTTTCTATGCTCATATTTTTTTTTACCGCACGTTGCCGCACCATTGAAAAAAAATAAAAAAAATTCAGGAGTCTCGCACCGGTTCTTGGGGTTAGAAGCTGCAAAGCCGGTCTGAAATGAACGTCGAACAGATTCATTATATGATGTCTTATTAGTTCCCTTTGATTTTCCATGGTGGTGTTTCACAAACGTTCACAAACGAAACGTTATAACCAAATAGAATGAATTCTTATTTATTATTTGTTCATGTTTTAAATTTTATCATAATAAGTACTATACCAGAATTCTTTATGGTAACAAAAAATTTATGTTTATTTGGGTTGGGTTCCTGTGGGTATGATAAGGCTAAAATTTTGTAGATCGGTAGTAAATTCAGTTACATAAAACACAATATCATTGTTAAAATTATTGTTCTAGAACATTCCTATTTCAATTTATGTATGAGGTGGGAAGGCAACAATCTTTACACTCAGTATAATTTTACATAATAATATTATAAATAACAATTATTTCCCTTATTAAAAAAAAAAATTGAGTGTCCCTGTAATTTTTACATTTAAACGTGCTGGATGTGGAAACTGCTCATCATGTGCACACTATAACAATATATCACTGCTATAGGATCCTAGAGTCTTTTAGGTATCATTGCCACCAAAAGTATCTGGGAAAAAAATATTGCAGAATAATCTCCTGGACTAATTCTTCCGTCATTCATTTCAATGCTTTTAATTCATAGTTTGACAAATATTTGACAATAAAATTCATATAATAGTACAAGAGCTAATATGATACTGTCCCAGTTACTTTTGGTGACGATGGTACATGGTACATTATACAGAGCGCATAATACCTCTGTTACCTGTTACTTTTCAATTACCTCGTATACAGAAAAGTGACCGTGATGAAAGTTGCTCAGTAAAAAATAAAAAAATAAAAAACAGCAACTTTCATCAGGATCACTTTTTCGTATACGAGGTAACTAAAACGTTACAGGTACTATAAGCGACTTTTTTGCCACTTTCTATATGTAAATGGAATAAAATCATCGAATAAAATACATTTTTATTTCTTCATGTCATTTCAATAATACACCCGCAGTTTTATGGTCACAAAAAATGTACCCATGTTTTTTGTCAGTTTCAGTAAATTTAAAAAAAAAACGTTGTACGATATTATATGAACAAAATAACAACCAACGATTTTACCATTTCAGTCCGGGTAGATTCAACAAATGATCTATTACTGTGCGCCTTTCTGCACTAACCCATAAAGCTAAAAAACAAAGCAAGCTACAAAAATACATATGGATACTATTTTTTGATATTGAAGTCTAAAAAAAATGCTACTGAGGTTTTGTCCCGCTAGAATTCAAATCCGCATCACTGTGCGGCGTCTGTCCCAGAATGGGCGCTAGATATCCAAGCCAAGATTCAGCAAACAGGAAGGCAACGGGATACCACCTTTATTATTTTTTCCCAAGACAATGACATTAGTATATTTAATTCAAATTTTTTCGTAGCTATAAATAGTTCCCCAATCGGATCTCCGGAGTCCGGAGGAAACGGGTTTAAATGTATCAACAACCAAACAAGCAAACCTAAGAAAACCAATAGAGGTCGGAACCAGAACATGGAATGTAAGAAGCTTATTTGAAGCTGAAAAGCTGGCAAACCTCACACAGGAAATGAGCAGACTCAAACTAGATATCCTAGGTGTTCTTGAAACCTGGTGGCCTGGTATAGGAAAATGCTGTGAAGAAAACGGAGCATTCGCTTCTACTCTGGCAATGAAGATCCAAGAAACGGACCGCATAATCTGATGCTAAACCAAATAGATTTCATCCTCATCAACCGAAACCTCAGCTCACCCGTCAAGAGACCAAGCACATATCCTGGAGCCGATGTACCTTCTGACCATGTTCTCAATTAATTAATTGAAAAAAAAAAACATTATCACATCAAAGAAAGCCAACAACACACCAACGGATAGCGGTGGAAAAAATGAGGGATTCAATTATAGAAGCCGGATGTGTAACGAGATAAATACACAAATTCAAACCATGACATTAAATATTAAAGAATAAAGATCATGGACAAAGATAATGGATATTGTATCAAAATCAATGCAGAACACGCAGAACAGATAAGGATATAAAAAAAGGAAAAAAAAAAGGAAAAATTTGTGACAGACGTGATCTTCTCGTGAACAAATGACATACGGCCGCATATATAGTCCGTTGCATGGTTCTTGAGCTACGACTACTGAATAGACAGAAAGAACAATGGGCTATTGCTGCGTTGTCATATCAATAATAATATTTATTATTACATGAAAATGAAGGAAATTTTATTGCAATTTTCATGTATTAATAAATATTATCGATATGACAACTGACAACGCAGCAATAGCCCATTGTCTCCTCTGTCTATTTAGTAGCCGTAGGTCAAGAACCATGCAACGGACTATACAAAATCCTTCAAAGACTCATAAGATCAAATATAAGAGTAGCAAAAAAGGAATGGCTCAAACATGAATATGCACAGAAATAGAACAGCTGCAAAAGCAGTATGATGATTTAAACCCCTACTGGGCATTCATAAACAAAATGGATTTTAACAGTCAATGAGGACAACCAGATAGATCATGATTATCTTCAGAAACCTAAACGTGTTTAAAAACTCCGCCATAACATTTAACGAAATGCCCATAGAAAAAGTGGATAAATTCAATACTTTTGGGTATCTATAGCTTTTCGAAGACTGGACATCGGACAAGAAAGTAGAATGGCGCATTTAACAATTCCGACAGGCGTTTTTGAAATTCGGAAAGTACTTACCTGCTCCGATTTTAATCTTAACCTAAGACTAAGGTTCGTAAAGTGCTACGTTTGGTCGGTGCTTCTTAACGGTAGGGAAGGTTGGACACTGGAGGCGAGTACAATTACCAAAATTGGAGTCTTTTGAGATGTGGTTGTATCGCAGGATCCTTGAGATACCTTGGAGGGCGAGACTGACGAATGCAGAGGTCCCAAGGCCTTTCGAGACGCGAAACAAAAAATATCAATTCCTGCAACTGATAGTCGAAGGCAAGATTGAGGCAGAAGAAAAATCGGAAAGAAGAAAATGTCTTGGCTGCGAAATATCAGACAGTAGACAAGTCTGCAAGATGTAGGTACGTACAGTCGCTGATACATACGTAGGTAACTCAAGAAACAGAGAACCAATGAAAAATCTAATCGCCAACATCCATTAATGGATACGCATCAGAAGAAGAAGAAGAAGAAGAAGAAGAAACCTGATAAACCCTGGACATAATCAGTAGTATGAAAACCTCTGCCTTTTTCTGCTACTTTAAAGCTGAATATATTTATCTCAAAAAAACACAAAAGCATATGCTTGTGTTTTAGGCATATGACCCAAGGTATGCGAGAAGCAATTATTCCAACCTGCAAAATTTATTTGGTATAGCTACCTCGCACTCTCTCTTTTTTCTCCCTTTTCGAACCCGTACTCTACGCTGCAGCCTTGTAGGCTTTTTGTATCTCATTGTCTGGGCTCTACTCCTTCCCATTTATACTTGGAGACTAGATGTGGCGTGCAGTGCGGGCGACCGACCGTCCCGTACTACTGCGGTCACCGATCCAATCTACATCCCAACACCACGTCGTTTCGCCTGACTAGAGCATGACTAGAGCGGATTGCGGACTGCATCCTTTATCAAGAACCAACGCGCCGACTATAGCTACTAGTACGTTCAATGGTTCGACTAGTATGTAACTAGAATTGAGAAATTCAACAGAAGCCCTTTATAACAAATTTATTGTGCACATTCTGTTATTTTTTAAGCAAACAAAAATATTATAAGAAAGAAGATCAAGCTAACTTGCCAAAATGTATTTCAAATAACACACTTGTCTGATTCTGGACATAAAGTAAAAGTAGATGAAAATGGGTAAAACCAAATTTGAGAATCTCCCAAGAACAGATTTTATCATTTATGTGGGTGCATGCGATGCCCGCTGTTAATGTTTCCAAATACACTAACTTTTCTTCTTGGAATTTCAATAAGAAAAAATCCATACCAGAAGCCATTTTTGTTAAACATTTATTGCAATAATACTAGAAATTTCAATAAATACTCATATTAAACATATATTTATTTTGCCTTACATCTAAATTGAATAATTTATTTAGCATTGGCAGCCTCAAGTTCTTGTTCTACAATCTTTCTATATTCATCAAATCCACCTTCTATACTTTTCACTGTAGAATTACCGCAATGCCACAACTCATTTGTCACCATCCTGATTAGCCTTTCGTCGTGAGATACGAGAATAACACCTCCAGTATATTTTTTGATAGCCTTTCCTAAAGCCTCAATAGTTTCAATATCCAAATGATTGGTGGGTTCATCAAGGACTAGGAAATTAGGCCTGCCCATGCACATACTTGCAAATGCCACTCTAGATTTTTGACCTCCAGAAAGACTGGATACTGTTTGAAGGGCTAAATCGCCAGAAACTCCAAAGCTACCCAATTGTCTTCGGTATTCCTCTATTGGTTTACCTGGAAACTGCTGTTGAAGTAATTCCACGGAATTTACATTCATATCTAACTGGTCCACATGATGTTGACTAAAATATCCAAATTTCAAGTTTCTGTGCACGTGCCTACTTCCTGAAGTGGGACTTAGAATACCCATTATTATTTTTAAAAGAGTTGTTTTACCAGCACCATTATCACCAACCTGAAACAATAAAATAATTACTTAGCTAATGTTTTGTATACAGGTTGTTACAAATCCGAGGTTTGGGGATTTCAGAAGTCTCGAGATATATTTGGGCAAAGTTACGCAACTTGGTGCTCAACAAATATGAACATACCTATACGAAAAAATTACCATACTGTACTGAAAACTTAATTTTTTATTCTTTTCTTTTTTTTTCATCCGCCTAACGTCAATAATTTATACAATTTTTATAGGATGACAACAACGACCAGATGAGCAAACTACTCTTTTTTTCTAACACAATCACTCTCAGAACAGAAGAATTTTTCTATATAGGTAGAAACCTTTGCAATTTTCTTGAGCAGGAAGTTGAACCGACATTATTTAAATTTTGGTCACACGATGTTGCAAAGAATAAACTTTCCATACAACCCTATCATATCATTTTGTTCTAATCCATTAATCCGGTTGCTTTATCTTATAGTCAACACGAAGCCTTCGAGAAATTAATTTGGTTGGCATTTTTTTGTTTAAAACTAAAACCATTGTTTAATGACACCTTCATGGGAACCAAAATCAGTTGGTCCTTCAAACTATTGTCCTGAACAGGGTAGTTGTAGAGGATAAAATGTAGAATCTACCCTGATAATTAAATTTGGAAATATTAATGTACAAAATTACTTAGCGTTTTTTTTTACATATCTGCCAACGACATTGAAAAGGGAGAAATATATGGGGGTATATAGGAATAAACTAGCAAGTTTTTATCCACATTCATCAGGCTAATAGTCCAAGCAATGAAGTTTACCTCAACATAATTAGAAGTTAACATTTTTTGGGGGGATCGGTTCATTTTCATGTGCTTAATAACATATTAAGTTTGCGACCTTGTACTTCCATAGGGTTTTCAGTTAGGGGTGGTTTTTAGGGTTAATTTGCAGTTTATGGAGAACGCTGCTCAAAAGGATGATCCAATAGCAAAAAGTTTCAAATCAATGTTGTAGCTGAAGCTTTTTGCTATAAAAAACTCAGCGACAGCACCCTTCTATCTTCTATAGTTGTTTTTCTGCAGCGTCTTGAATAGTAGCATGTTTTTGTTCAAGGTCACTGAATCAACGTTTTGTCATTTTGCGCGCATTTGTTGCAGCAGCGGCCGAATGCATAATCCGATTTCAATTTTTCAAACACCACATTATTTCTAATGAAATGCACTCTCCAATGCTTTTTTGTTCGAATTTTTTGCTTGAAAATTAAGCGAGCACGGACTTGTCTAATGTGCGAGGAAGTTGTAAATTGCATCGAAAACTACCCCTTTCTTGCATTCACTCTAATTTCTAAACGGGGCCAAATATTTGGTGACAGTTTTCGACAATCGGCAGCCCATTTATTCCTCTCATAATGCCCCAGCGGACTTTTTTTTTTCGTTAATCACTTAATGACTTATTGGCCTGAAAAAGTCGCGCGCGATTTTTCAAAAAGTAAAAAAAATTAAAATTGTCGCATAGCGCTGAAATTTGGTACGATGGCTTTATTTATTGTTCTCATGATTATACTGCAATTTTATATCATGTGAAGCAATTAAAATTGCAGTATATTCATAAGAACAATAAATAAGGCCATCGTACCAAATTTTCAGCGCTATGCGACAATTTTATTTTTTTTTTTAATTTTTGAAAAATCCCGCGCGACGTTTTCAGACCATCCGCTGAGGCATTATGAGAGGAATAAATGGGCTGCCGATTGTCGAAAACTGTCACCAAATATTTGGCCCCGTTTAGAAATTAGAGTGAATGCAAGAAAGGGGTAGTTTTCGATGCAATTTACAACTTCCTCGCACATTAGACAAGTCCGTGCTCGCTTAATTTTCAAGCAAAAAATTCGAACAAAAAAGCATTGGAGAGTGCATTTCATTAGAAATAATGTGGTGTTTGAAAAATTGAAATCGGATTATGCATTCGGCCGCTGCTGCAACAAATGCGCGTAAAATGGCAAAACGTTGATTCAGTGACCTTGAACAAAAACATGCTACTATTCAAGACGCTGCAGAAAAAAAAATATAGAAGATAGAGGGGTGCTGTCGCTGAGTTTTTTATAGCAAAAAACTTCAGCTACAACATTCATTTGAAACTTTTTACTATTGAACCATCCCTTTGAGCAGCGTTCTCCATAAACCGCAAATTACCCCTAAAAACCACCCCTAACTGAAAACCCTATGGAAGTACAAGGTCGCAAACTTAATATGTTGTTTAGCATATTAAAATGAACCGATCCCCCCAAAAAAATTTCAACTTCTAATTATGTTGAGGTAACCCCTCTTTTCAGATCTCCGTTTCTTGGACTATAAATCAAAAGGGTACTTATGATGTATTATGGATTGTAGAAATACTGATGCTCTTGTATTGCTCGCACATTTTTGGATTACCTTGAGGGTGAAGTAGCTAGAATTGTGTAAAACAAAAATATTACCAAAACAATAAGGTACTTTCACCAGCACTCATTTTATGCTGAGGTTGTCTATTTAACAGATTGCTTGGTGAAATATTTGATAAAAATAATAACATACCATCCTTTTTTCAAAGTTGATGGTAGCTATGTAGAAGAAAGTGGCCAATTTTGTAGGTTCTTATACATACATATGTCCAAAATTTATTTAAAGGGTAATTTTTGGATTTTACCCTCCTTACAACATACAAGACTATGTAGTCTGAACACCAATGGATTTTGGTTCTCCTAGAGGTAGGGGATTATTTAAACAAGGTTCTAGCTTTTAACCAAAAGATGAAAACGAAAATCACAAATTGATACATCCTGAACTTTGCTGCACAAATAACAAAAGTTCTCTGCAAGGAAAGGTCTATTTATAGGAATTTGAATCTGATTTTTTATACCAGTAATTATATATTATTTTTTACATGTAAAAGATACTCATTCAGTTTAAATAATCAGCTGAGATCAGATGAAAGACGTGAAATAATAGGATAGTGGGACAGTAGGATATTTTTGAGAGTGCGAGTGGCAGTGAACATGTTAAAAAAATATTTTTGATCAAAACCATTATTTAGCTAACTATTGTCAACAATAAAGTGTTTGATAGACCTATAATTTAGTTTCAATACTTAGTTACGTTATGGTTATTGGTTATTGGATACCAAGGATGATGGTGAGGGGCTGTTATTTCAATGCTCATGGGACTAAACATTTTTCAATGGCTGTGATAACTGATTATTGTTAGGACATCAACGAGATAACAGACGGCAAAAATCCAAGCCATATTTGAAAAAAAAATGAGGTGCAGATTTGAAAATTGGTTGATTGGCAATGGTACTATTTATTTTAAAGGGGATGCGACCCAAAAAAACCACTTAAGCTACATCAATCAAGAAAAAAATCTAAGATCTCTCATGAAAAGCGCAGTCCTATATTCAAAATAGTATCCGAGAAAATCCCTTATGAGGTAAAATTATGCGGGAACTTGTGACGTCACACCGGCTAACCTTCGAAATCGCAGCCTTCTGTTTTTTCAGTCGCCAGTGAACCGTGCCCTATATACTTTGGGTAGTTGAAATTCGCTCTAGTGAGATCGTTGACTTTTGTTTTGGAAAATTCTTACATGTGTTAATACTGTGCCTCAGCAGGTGTGAGCCTAGGCGTGCATATTTTTGAACAGCCCTAACTGGAAAACGGTTCAGCAAGATGCTGTTTAAATATTTATTCTAAGATTTTTTTGCCTTAAAACTTTCATTTTTGGGTCACACCCCCTTTAAAACCATAAAAACTTTGTAAAATTCTTTTTTTTATCTTCGAAAGCATTAGAATTTTCCTTAAGCATCAAACTATGAAAATCACTCAAACTTTAAACAGCCCTGTATTATACACTAATAATAAGTATACTGTGTTAATGCTACTTACAATACATATCCTAGACTCCATAGTAGCTCCAAGATTCACATTCGAAAATATCACTTTGTCTTTGTTGTAATAGAACATAACTTCATTTATTTGTAAAATTGGAGGTGAAAGGGCTTCTGTTTCGGGTAACCTTAGGACTACTTCAGTTTCTTTAACAAGTGGTTTAAGTTCGGGCCTAAAGACATTTCTATTAGTATCCTAGAAAAAATTCATGGAAGTAGATACTTACATTTTTTCCAACATTTTTATCTTTGATTGTACCAGTGCTGCCCTATTAGCGTTATATCTAAACCTATCAATAAATTCTTGCACGTGTTGTCTCTGCTGTAGCTGAGCGTCATACTCTCTTTGTTGATTTTTTAGTTTTTCTGTTTTAGTTTTTTCGAATTGTTCGTAGTTACCTCTATAAGGTTCTATCCTTTGGGAATGTAAATATAAAATGTCTGTCGGAACAGTATCCAAAAAGTTTCGGTCATGGGATACTACCAAAAGAGTGGTGGGCCAATTTTGCAGGTAGGTTTCCAGCCAAATGATGGCTTTAATGTCCAACATGTTTGTGGGTTCATCAAGTAGTAACAGATCAGGCCTAAGAAGAAATGCATGCATATTAGAACCCTATGAAAAATAACTTATGAGATCGTCTTCCACAAAAATTTGCCAGATGCTAAAAACCAGCTTATGAGAACGTTTTGACTGCAACTGGTTTGATGCATCAAAAACTTTCAAAAACGGCTACTGCACTTTAAACCAACCATTCTTTTGTGAAGGGTGTCTGCTGACGAAGACAGTAGAAAAGACTCGAAACAAAACAACGGTATTCTCGTTTGAAAAAGACTAGGCAGCTAATTGCGAAGTAAGGCTACTGTTGGCTTGATTAGGTGATTATTGATACATATCATTGCCTTGAATTTCTTAGGTCTTAGTAGAAGCGAAATTCAACAATTTAGTTACTATATTCCTTTTAAAGCTATACCTATTTAGGATGATGTCACATTTGGTACATTTCTGCAGCCAACCTAACAAAACTAAAAGTACTTTTTAACGCATTGAAAGTAGGTAGGGGAATTTCAGATGTTTTTGGTTGGCAACGGCGCGCGACGTTCCATGAATTACATAAACATTTTCAAATAACGGTTGTCGATTCATTTCGTTATTTTTAGCTGTCAGTGGTCTTGATTTATTTATTATTTTGTATAATCCTAATTTAGTGCCAAAAATACGTTAAATTTTTTTCAAAAACTCGGTACTTTTTCGTAACATGCACTTACTTCAGAAAATGCCTTAAGGTTTGTCGAGTTGGTCTCAGGAAATGGTAGCATACTTGATATCGTATTTCCAGCAGGAACGCGATAATAAAGGACAATTTTTGCTTCTTACTGCTGTGAGGAATGTAAGTAAATTACCTTTTTTCTGTTTCGTTCGACAGAATTGACACATGACATTCTGGTAAATTATAAGAAAAAAAATATGCATTGACAACATTGTTTGTGCGTGTTCTATGACGTCATCCTAAATATAACGTTAAGAAACCTATAACCTGATAGGGTATGATAATTTTTTACATTTAGGGTTCCCGCCACCTGAAAACTGAAACTGTTACAAAACAAGTTCTTACCTTGAGAACAAAGCTCTAGCCAACGCCAATCTCATTCTCCATCCACCAGAAAACGTTTTGGTAGGATTCTGTTGCATTTGGGATGTGAATCCCAAACCAGCGAGGATTATAGATGCTTTTGCTGGAGCTTTATCTGCTTCAATATTCTGTAATTGTATATAAACTTCTGAAAGTTGGGTATTAAGGTCCGGATCGTTGGAACCTGAATTTATAGCTGCGCCTATTTGTTTTTCCTTTTCCAACAGACTTTGCCTCACTGTATCACATTCAAGAACGCTGTCTAATGCTAAAGTTTCGTCTCCAATTACTTCTTGTTCTACATGAAGTATGGATATATGAGAAGGAATTTTTAAATTTCCGGAGGATATCATGTTTAGTAAAGTACTCTTTCCTAAGCCATTTCTACCTACAAGACCATATCGTCTTCCAAAAGCTAATGTAATATCGGCTCCTTGTAGAAGCACTTTATCTCCATAAGCAATATCAAAGTTTTCTATCCGAATATCTTGTGCCCGGTTACTTCCTTTGGCTTCGAGTTTACTGTCTTTTTTATTAATAACTTGTGAAGCACTTGCTGTTTGTAATTTTGGCGGTACAATCATCTTAATTTCTTTGCCCCTTTTTTCTTGTTTTTCTTGCAACTTAGCTTGAGCTTTTTCTAATTTTTTAGCATTAACTTTCAAAGTGTCGTCTCTCTGGGCCACCCAGATGCTTTTAATTTCTTCTACATTATTTTCTTGATTTTCTGCCATGGAGCCCAAATGAATTGGACCATCAAGAATACGTAAATTTCCATTGGTTTTACTAGTACTTTTTTCAGGTCTCAACAAGTTTAGAAGTTCTTCACAAATATTTCTGGAATAAAGAAAAAATTATAGTTTTTTCAAAGTTTGTATTATGAACCAATTAAGATCTTTTTGGTAGGATTCATAAAATGATGGTTGAAAAAACTCAAAACTTGATGAAACAAATACAGCAAGCATCAAGTTTTCTAGGGTCATTATACTTTATTATTATAGTGTATTCTCGATAAATGCACTGTGCATTGCACATTAAATGTTGCGCGGAAACCAGAGAAGCTGCTATTTTAAAAATATTTATGACATTGCGGTTTTGCCATTATTGCTAGACTGGACAACACTTTAATATCAGTATATTTCAATATCAAATTGTGGCTATTTTAGTCCTATATTGAGAATTTGCAGGGATGCCAATCAACTGCCAAGAAAAGTAGATCTGTTTAATTTATCTTTAAAGGGGACATATTACAACAGGGTAATAATAGTTAATGAGATTTTATTGTTTCAAAATTAGGTACCTATTTATTACTATTATGTGATATTAAGAATTTTTTATTGTGATGGCAATAAACTTGTCTATTTTGCTCTCGATTTTGCTTATTTGTTCATTGACACTCAATACCAGGCAACATGAAATAGGCAAAACAAATCACTTTTTTCTTGAACAAAGGAAGACATTCTATACAGGGATGGCCAAAAGTCTGGAATAAAATTCATAGTTTTTCAGCAAGTAATTTTTGTAAAAAACGCTGAAACAGGTTAATTGATTTTAACTTTTTCACATTTTTCAGTTAAATAAAAAAAAAAATCCAACCCCCTAAACCCCAGCTACCCCAACTTTTTTTTTTAATGGAAACCTATGTCTTGTGGAGACTCATTGAAAAGCTCATGAAAAATAGTACCTATCCAGCCATACCAAATAAACAAGTTTTATGTTTTTAATAACCAGTTTTTTTTATGGGTGTCCAAGATAAGGATGTCTATCATGGGGATCCCATAAACAGTAGTAGATACGGCAATGGTTAAATGGGAAAAAAGTTACGGAATTTAACGCTCAATAAAATGGTACTTTGACATTTGAAAAATTCCGAACATTTTCCGAGCTATCCGGAGAAAACCGACATTTTGCAAAGTCGATTCTATTTTTTCCTGAGCTTATTTGAGAAGATATTTCAAAATAAATGTCACTTCATCGTTACCACTTTTCCTACTCTACAAGATGACATTATCAATTTTGGAATTTGACGTTTCTTCTTTGGCCCACCATCATTGGCTGGAAGCCTCATACAGCCAATGAACTAAACAAACACACTGGAACGGTGGCTACATAATTGTTTCTATGCAAGGGTTTGTGCCAGGAAGGACAACAAACAACAGGGATTTGCATCTCCCTCTGCACTATGGCAGCTATTGAGAACAGCTGTTCGAAGTGATCGATCATTGAGGTTAGGAAGATGAAGAAGCTCTTCTTTCTTTTACATCAATCGCAATGAGTGTGAGCGAGAAAATAATCCATCTGTATTGCTGGGTTGCATATATCAAAATTTGCCTCAATAGCATAAAGCAGTGCGCCCATTCCAGATTGTTTGTTTAGTTCAATGCATATAGCACAACCGATAAAGAATACTAGAGAGATGGTCAGTGAAGCAGCTTCAACTGCATTCAACTCTTGGGTGCGGTAGTGTTATTTTTTGAGCAAATTTTCCCGAATCTGGCAGGATACTGTAACTTCAGAAAAGATGCAAGCGATCATTATGTGCACTTAATAACAGAGATAGGTGTCAGGAACTCTTTGGGCAGCATGGGATCCATACTGTATACAATCTTTACATACAGGGATGTGTGCTGCATTCTTGTCAATTTCTCTCTTTTTGAAAATTTGAAAAGGCTAAGCGCTCACATAAGACTAGACAAAAAAAGCAATCTTAAGACTGGAGTAGCAAAATACCTACAATTACATACAAAAAAAAAGTCAAGCACAGCATTCTGAAGGTCTGGAATTTTGCCAATAAATCTAAGACAAAGAAGGGCGAACCGCCCAGTTAATGACCACTTTAGGTAATAGTGATATATAAATAAATGTCAAAATTTAGGTTTTGATTTTAAAAAAGAGCCCAAAGGACCATTGGAAAATGTGTTTATTATTTTATACTTCTGTTAAGATAAAAAAAGTATATGGCAGTGTGAATAAAAACTAAGCTTTCACTTTTAGTGTAAAGTGATAGCTTTAGCTTTTACTAGGTAGATTTAGCTTTTGCTAATAGCATTTGCTGAAATTGAAGTGAATAACCTTTTCCTTTTACTTACTAGCAAAAGCTAGATATTTCAAGCGTTTACTGAAAATACGGAGATTTCGAGAAGTATCTACAGCATTCTCAAAAAGTATGTTAGCGAAATTTTATACTGATAACGCCGATATTTATATTTTTATGTACCGGAATGATATGAGGTTTGTTTCAATACGTCCAAAACCGTCCCATGAATGTTCTAGAAACCACTTTGTATACGAATTTCGGGTTTTACGTAAAATTTTTTGACTTTGCGCAGAATCATGACGGTATACATTGGCGGTTTCTTGATGTGTTGGAACAAAGCTATGACCGGTGGCGTGAAAACACTGGAAGGAGTCAATAATTGGGTACGTTCACCAGTACTCAGCAGCTAACTTGCAGCGTAAAGCAGTTGAGGATAGTTGAGATACAGCGGAAGTAAATTTCCTGAGCGCACGAAACTTCTGCGCATGTCTATAGTATAAGTTGAGTTGGTAAGCCTGAACTTTTACCGCTCAGAAAAATCGGCAGCAGCTGACAAAAAGCGGCTTTTGCTGAGCGCCGCTGAACGCTATTGTTTCCCCTTTTCCCCACTACTCAACTGTTGGCAACAGTTGAGTGCTGGGCGGGTATTCTCGTTCTAGAAAACGCTCACCGCTTTTCAGTCGCTCGGCACTTTCAATGTAAATTTGCATTTGAAGTGCCGAGCGACTAGAAAGCGGTGAGCATTTTTGAGAACCAGAATACCGGCCAACATAGGTGCCCATTTTGAACAAGTAGCGGTATCGAACGCCAGCGCTTCAAGGTGAAAATGAATAGTGATTCTGACAAATCTAGAAGTGGTTTGTTGGAGTAGGTGAAAATCTTCAGCCAACCTTGAATTGACAGACTGTGATATTCTTTGGCACGACTTTCTTTTCTTTCGGAATAAAATTTCGCAGACCTCATATTCATAAACGCAGCCATTTCTGCCAAACTTTCAAAACTTTTAAACACAACTAAAATGTTTAAGCCAAGGTTTACCAGGCTTGCAAAAATGTAAGCTTTTCCTTCATTTAATTAGGAATTGCTTACTTTTATTCACACCATTTAAAGACAATGCTAAAAGCTTTAGCTTTTACTAATTGAATTTTTAGTTAAAGCTAATACTCATTTTTATTCACTGCAAATTAAGTATTTGCTTAGAAAATGCAAGATAAAGCTTTTACTAAATTTTTATTCACACTACCCATTGTTTCACTTTTTTTAAGACAACCATTTTTGAGATGGTTTGTATAAATTCCTAGTAAATGACCAGTTACTTCCAATAAATGGCCAAATTAAAAACCAGTAAATGACCACATAAAGTACTTTATTGTAGGAAAGCTAGATACCACAAAAAAAATAAAAGTTAACATAAATTTAAAAAATTAAGGCAAATGAAATCATATTTGACGATTTCCCGAATGGAATACAAATTTCCGGACTGCAAATTAACATTGGTGGTTCTATCTTTTCCAGTAGGTACGTCATTTTTACACATCACGCTCACCTCATACTCCCTTTTTTGTTTTGCTACAATCACTCCTGGAAAATAACTTTTATCATATCTTTTACGGAATCGGCTAAGGTGAATATATTTGGTGACTTAGATTCATTGATCTTCTCTTCAGTTTGGTTCATGTTTTCTTTTTTGTTATCTTCAAAAGAGTCTTAGTCTGAAATATCCGTATCAGTTGCACTAGAAGATGACTCTCTTCTCTTTCCCTTTTTAATTTTTTTGTTTTCTTTATTTTTGATCAATTCTTCCCGTTTATGTTTCTTTTCCTCCCTAGCTAATTTTCTTTGCTCTTCTAATTCCTCAGTAATTCTTTTTCGTTCCTCATTCTTTTCATGATATTCTTTCCAATAATTGGAAGCCAAAGGCGCTTTTTCTTTGACATACTTCTTAGTTGCAACTCCCAACTTTGGAAAGTGTAAGTGTTTCTTCCAGGTATCTTCGACTTTAAAGGATGTATTTGAGTTTAAATTTAAACTCAAATGTGGCTCCTTTGATTCATTACCAACAACTGTTTCTTCAGGTTGTCTTCTTTCATTTTGATTTTCAATTTCAATGTTATCTAGAATCTGCATGTTTTCATTTTGCGTTTTTTCTAGGCTTTCTGCAGCATATTCCGTTTCTTCTTCAATTTCTACACATATGACTTCATCTTGATCTTCGTTACTTTTTTCGTCAATATCCTGATGATCTTCTTCAGGTTCCGTGTGTGCATGAATTATTAGAACATTATTTCTATTAACTTCTCTTTGGTCATCTAATGCACTTTCATTTCCGTTATTTTCTTCCTCAGGGTTGTCCTGATTTTTGGCATATTTATTCCATACTTTAAATAATTTGTCATTATTTAAAACATCTTGAGCTTTTTTTCCTTCTCTGTATGTTTTTAAAGTATCTGGAGAAATTTTTATTTACTAATTTCATCCAGGTTATCTTGTACAGTATTCTTTTGTTCTCTTAGCGCTGCCTGACGAGTATTCATACATTTTGAAAAATCCACATTATTTGCATTAAATGGGAATATGCCACATGCCCTAAAGGCGTTTTGTATTGTTGCTATCTTACATGCAGAGTTAAATGCTTCTGCAAAAATAGGTGCAAAAGATGCTTTGGTTAGAGATTTTCTTGTTTCTTGCTTGTACTTCTGGAAACCCTCCAGGAGACTTTTAGTCTTTTTTTTTTTGTCTAAAGATACCAACATCACATGGCTGCAATATATGAGTAGTGTTTGGTAATACACAGTGAAGGAAAATTCTCTTCTCTCTACAAAAATTGGCTACTTCAGGACTGATATGTGACTTATGTCCATCTAGCAAAAATAGAATAGGCAATTTTATATTATTATCTAACAGCCATGGATAAAGATTATTCACCACATACTCATAAGTGTTGGAGCTACTCTTCCGCTGATGGCAGAAAAACTTGCTAACACAGTCAGACATTCTTTTTCTTCACCAACAGCAACATCATAAAAGTTCTTGAAATGTTTAGGTCCCAGAACTTTTCCTGTTTTGGGGCATAACTGCACTCCAGTCTCATCAGCATTGTAGATCCGGTCAGCGTCTTCAAGAATATCAACAGCATCTTCTTCTATTAAAAAATGTCTAAGACCCTGAAACCATGTTCTTATGTCTTGCTCTGTGACACTAGCTCTGGCTTTGGAAATAATTTCTGCATTTCTTTTCTTAATGTATGTCTTTACTTCTAAAAAACCTTTCAGCCATTTATCACCTGGGCGATTATTATTGAATGGATTGGGGCACTGAGTTTCTTCCATTCCTTTTTGTACAGCATCTTTCACTTCATCTGGATGCATAGGAAATCCAATTTTTGCTTTCTGTATGATCTAATTTTCTAATATATTTTCTTCCTGGGAAGTCAAGATTCTTGGTGGGCCCATTTTTCTTATTGAAATATCTGATTTTCCATGCAGTTTGTTAATTAAGGTGCCTTTTAGAATTTTAAAGTGTTTACTAACTTCATTAGCACTCATTTTGCCTTCTTCACCGCGGCTTTAAGATCTTCAATTGAATACTTAAACCTTGTGTACGTATGATCTTTTGGGTGTTTTCTCTGGTGTTTCAGCCATCTGAAAATAAATAATACTTATTACACTATTGCATAATTCCACAAACGATATTTTATTGAAGAAACAGCAAAGAGTCATTTACTGGGCTAAATAACCAGTGAATGACCAGAAGAATAAATAAATAAAAAGGGTGAAACAGTTGTGCAACACAACAGCCTTACGCCTGCGCAGTCTCTTACTTTCGAACAACTGTTCTAAATTTTGAAATATCCTTCATTTTCATTGGCTATATTTTGCGCACGCACAGTACATGTATCTACTGCGCACGCTCACAGCTGTCCCAATGGGCTCTTTCACTAATTTTTGAAATTGGCATATTTGGATAAAGCAACTAAAAACAGAATTTTCTGTATTTTTACTTTTGAAAAATTCAAAGTCCTTCTTGAGAAAACAGAAAACAAAGAAATACCTCCAAATAAAAACCCAGAATTTATTTCTATGACGTCGCAGCTCGCAATTTGACCGTGTTGCCACTAATTGTCAACATTGAAAATTTGTAATAGATTTAATTCTGAAATGTTGGCAAAATCTCATGGAAAGTAGTTAAATTAATTAGTTATAGATTCAAGATTTTATAACATTTTTTTTTTAAATTATGCTTAAATACAATTTAATGCAATTTTTTATGTTTAGTTTTATTTATTTATTTTACGCTGCACTACATTTAGTCACAACCGACAACAGCGCATTCGAACCTTTACGTATCTTTACAGAGCGCAAACACAGCCGAGCCCTTCCTCCTTGCAACGACATAAGCGAAATGAAGAATATTTATGTGACGTCGGCAAATCGGCGCGTTTTAAAATAGTTTGAATTGAGGCACTTTTGATTGCCTATGAAAAACTTATTGAACCTTGTAGAACATTTTTTTTTTGGTATATATGCCTAAAATAGTCCCTCCTTTGAGATTTTATACTTAAATTATGTATTTAAATTTTAGTGAAAGAGCCCATTGTTTACATTATGACCTCGTAAATTAGCAGCATTAGAAGCGCTCTTTGTTTATCCATTTGTTTTATGATTTATTTATTTAAAGTGAAATTAGGCTTATTATGTATTATTTGTAAGGTTATAAAATTTTATATAGAAATTTTTGAGATCAGTGGGTCATATATAGCTGTACACGAGGCTGTACATGACTACTTGAAAAATACAGTGCCCGCGGAAAAGTCTGCACCATATGGGAATTTTTTTTATGCTCATCCTTACTTCAAATCGGTTTTCGGCATTAGGTTCTGCATGACTGAAAACCAAAAAAACATCTAAAATTTTTGACTCGAGACTTGCCTCACACCTGTCAAATGCCATTTGAAAATTTCAAACAAGGAAAAGTGACATTTTTATAAAAAATATGAAAAAATTTTATAAGAAAATATTGTTCGAAATGACATTTAGAGTCTAATTTGATATTTTTGCTTTGAAATTTCAATTTGAGAAATCTAAAATTTTTAAAATAGTCCAAAGGTGTATCAAAATTTTAATGGAAATATTCCTTTCTGATGCTTAAACTCTTAATTAGATTATTGAGATTTAGTGCCGGTACTTTTGCTCTCATTTAACAGTCGTTAAAAATAATCAGGGCTTAGAATGTGCTCCAACCACATCATACTTATAGACCTTGACCTATGCAAAACTTTGACAACGTATCAAATTCGTTAATCGAGAGCAAAAGTATCGGCCCTTAAAAAACCATTAGTCAGATATAAACTTATTATTTTAGAGGAATGGTCGCAAAAAAAAATCCTAAAAATATTATTTTTCCATAGATATTCGAAATTTTTTTTTTTAAAAAATAAACTTTTCTTTCAAAGCAAAAATATCAAATTAGACTCTAAATGTCATTTGGAACAATATTTTCTTATAAAATTTTTTCATATTTTTTATAAAAATGCCACTTTCCTTGTTTGGAATTTTCAAATGACATTTGACTGGTGTGAGGCAAATCTCGAGTCAAAAATTTTAGGTGTTTTTTTGGTTTTCAGTCATGCAGAACCTAATGCCGAAAACCGATTTGAAGTAAGGATGAGCATAAAAAAATTTCCCATATGGTGCAGACTTTTCCGCAGGCACTGTATATGTTTTTTGAGGTTAATCAAGTTTTACAGCCTAAATAATACATTAGGTCTGTTCGCAGAGAAATCACAAATCAGTCAGAGTGAATCTCATTGGTCGAAACTAGTTTTCTGACTGTTTCTGATTGTTTTCAACCAATGAAATTCGCTCTGACTGGTTTGTGATTGCTATGCGAACAGGCCTTATATTTGACAATGTTTCATGCAGTTTAGCCAAAAAAAACATAACAAGTTTACAATTCTAATATTATTTTTTTGTGAAATAAATAGCTCTTTTGCTCCACTTACCTTAGTTATTTGCCAATACCTTTGGCAGAAAAACAAACAGGTGCACTTTTAACTGCCACTTGTAAAGCACTATTCTGCAAGGCTGCCAAACACATAAGAAAGTTGCGGAATTTGGTAAAGATCAAATTGCTGTGTATTATATTGCCTTGGGTTATTCAAAATTCTTAATAATACATAAAACAGTGAATATTGGTCATTTAGTGGAATGTGTTCAATAACTGGGCGGCTCAGCCAACTTCAAAAAATATAAAATCTAAAATAAAATCATACCTTATGCTGAGTCCCTGCTTGTGTCAAAATCATATTATAGTGTAGACAAGTTTTTTGTGGATCAGAATGTAAAAGAAATAATTGAAAAATGATAAAGTACTAAAGGCGAGACTAAAGGTGTATTTCAAATTTTGTGTATTTTATGACTGTATTTGCTGTTGTCTCATTTGTTGTTGTACTCTTCTTCGAATCGCAAAATTTCTATATACTTATAACTCGACTTTATAAGGATGTGATGGTGCATTTGCATTGGTGTATTAATTTTAGAGTCATTGGATAACTTTTAAATTTTGTAATTTTTCTTTTAATTTATAAGTTACTATTTTCTTGTAATTATTATTGACGGGATCAACTCCCACAAAAGTGTATATGTCTCGGTATATGTACTGTAACTATTGTACATGATCGAATAAAGTATTAACTGAACTAAACTGAATTAATGATACAAGCTAGTCCCTTATTAAAGAATATGAATTTGAAACCCAACATAACTTTTTCAGTAGTTGCATTTTTTAATACTCTGAATTATTAAAATGTTGAATTTTATCTCTCAAATTTTGGTTTTATGTCAACGCTTCGGACACTCTGACTGGGCCTAGGCCCTAAATAGGCTTAAAATCTCACTTGATATCCTCCTCTGTCTTATCAGCTGAAACTTCATGTAAAACAGCTCCAATCGCATCGTAAACTTCTTCGCCATCCTCAAATTCATCAGCACTAGTTTCCAGAACGCCTGAAATAAATAAATTGAACAATTAATAATATTTGAGAAAAATGTGTGATAAAAACTGATACCTACTTTCAACATATTGCCGAAAATCTTCATCAATAGAGGGAAACACGTTTTTAATATATTCCCTGCACGACCCCATTTTGTAATTTGTAATATTATATCCAAGTATCGGAATGGCTCATGAATGCAATTATTGAAAACGATTTCAAAAAGTTCGGGAATGCTTTGATTATTTCAAAAATAAAAATTTAAGTTTTCTATCCTAAATTTTTCTCCCGATTGCTTTGAATGCGTTGTTACTGACGTTGACGTATCATTGAACACTCAGGTGCGTTCGGGACAGGTTCGGGATGAGTGTTCTATAAACTCCAAGTGCACTAGACACTCCTGATTGGTCCTGATGCGTTCGGGTATAGTCATTTTGAGCTAAGAATGGTAGGTTTATTAAAAAAAGTAACACGGATGGGTGAGTTAACTTCTGGAATTACATGTAATTCAAAAAGTTAACTTTAAGTTAACTGTCAAAGCAATTTTATAATACCCGCCCTTAAACGAATTAGCTGGGCCGAGTTCAGAAATAACGCACAGGGTGCGAGTGCGATTTTATGGGTGTGCCTGAATTGACAATTGGCCATTGGGCCTATAGCACCGTCTAGCATTTTTGAACAGCTTGGGCGTCGCACCGGTGTCACACTCACACTGGGTGTGTCATTTCTGAACTCGCCCCTGTATTCCTTTCAAGAGCTTAGAACACTGGAGCTCTCCTGGAGCTACTCGCTCCGGTGTTAGTCGACCCGGATTTGAAAGGAACAGATGTGCTTGCTCTCGTGCATTTACCGTGCGTTCGTTATTTTGGTCTGTGTTCTCCGAGCTTGACTTTACCGTTTGTTTATTCAAAAAGTGTACTCGGTGCAGGCTCATTCGCGTTCGTTTATTAAAATTTCTGACGCTTCTATATAGCGTTCAACTGCTCTGTTCGCTCGCTGGTCACGTGATTACGGCTCCACTCAGCACGCTCTGCTCTTTGAGCTAAATACCGAACGCAAGGTTAGATGGTTTGATTCGGGCTTGAGCACTTCAGGTGCAAGGGTGCAACAAACACTTTTCGAAAGGAATAAGCGCGTAACGCCCCGGAGCTGTTCCGGAGCTCTTCCTAGGTGTGAAAAAAAGTTGAGGTTATGATATGTAATGTAGCGGCACAGATCACCTAATACAGATGCGTAAGTACGTATACTTGCCGTCGACGATATTCTGTGACGAAGCCGGGGAGCCAGCGCCCTGACGCATAGATACAGATCGCCCGCGTCAAGACAATTAACGTGGCCGGGTGCGTGAGCATGTTCCAGCCTGTGTGTTTACATATTTTTGCGGGTAAAAAAGAATATTTTTTTGCTGTTTGTGAACCAATTAAAGAATAGTATATTATGCAATGATCATGTAATGATAGCCATTAATACACGAGCATGTTGTAGGATACGAAACGAGCCGCAGGCGAGTTTCGTATATAACATGCGAGTGTATTAATGGCCATTACATGAGAGTTGCATACACTATTTTTTCTACTGCCATTGATAAAACTTATGATATTTAGATATGTCAACATTATGCTTAACTTTGAATAGAGATTTTATAATTGAGTAATCCATACAGTTGAAGGTTTCATTTTTTGTTGTAATTCTTCAAAATATACTATCAAAACATTTTCTGAGAAGGACGATGTGTTTTTGGTGTTTCCAATCCATAAATTGTCCATATAATTTTTCGCAAATTTTCTTGGACTTGTCCGGTAGTATATTATTACCTGCATTTGTCGCCCTTTCTGTAATTTCTGGAGGTGTTAGTGAAAATTCTTCGTTATCACTCAATATTTCCATGCCTTATCCCAAACATTAGGTAACTTTTAATAACAATTCGAAGTATTTTTTTCATGAAATTATTGTATTTCGCTAAATTACCATGGAAAAGCTATAAACAGAGTGCTGTCATCATTCAAAAAAAAAAAAATTCAAAATTTCTTAACTGGTGGCGCCATCTATTGACAATGCATAATAATGAGAAAAGTAAAAATTCTTCCTTATCACTCATTATTTCCATAATAATTATTCTTTGTCCCAAACTTTAGGTAACTTTTAAACAATTCGAAGTCTTTTTTATAGTTATCAAAATAATTGTTTTACGCAAAATTACCGTTAAAAATGTTTAATATCTTAACTAAGGCTGCCATCTATCAACATTGTATAATATTAAAAATGAGTATTATAATGAAAATCTGTATCGTAATGAAGTTCATTATAATACAGATTTTAATCGTTTAATAGCGTATTATGAAATGTCAGTAGAAAAATAATATTATATTATTGAGCTTCCGCATTTATATAATAAATTTGTTCAAAATACATTGATGCGGCATTGGTGCGGCCAGCCTATGTCTATCAAATTAATCTTGAACCATGGATTCGCCGCTCTTTCGCATCTGTATGTAGGTAATCTGTGGTAGCGGTTCATAAAAAAAAATTAAGACTTATCAACTAAGAATTAGGAATACATAAGCACACGTTGAAATTCTTAGTTGTGAGTTAATTTAACTTTTTTTTTATAAACCCACCATAAAAGAGCAACTCCACATGCGTTCGGGAACAACGTGCGTCAAAAGAGCTGACTCTGAAAGCACCACCTCTTCATTAGGCAATTCGCGAGGATAACCAAGCATAATCTTTTGCTGGGGCGCGTTCACAGTGGTTTACCCTGGGTAAAACTTAACCAATTTAAATATTTCACTGGTTGAAAAGGATGCGTTTGGTATGACAAATCCGTGAACGACTAACGCCTGCGCCATAACGAGGTAGGATTTGATTTTGTTTTCCTTTTGTTTACATACGTTGTGTTTCGAATGTTTTAGAGATGGATCCGGGAATAATATTTTTTAAAAGTACTATTGAAACTTCTTCGGATTCGTCTGATAGTCTGATACAGAGGTAGAAGTCAGCTTTGTTGTAGCAGAAACTGCAGGTGCTAGCGCTAGCAGTTTAAGTTTCAAGCCTGAAAAAAGGCATATTGAAAGACAGGATAATTTTATGGCAACAATACGCAATTATAGCGATAAGGAGTTCCAGGAATATTTTAGAGTTTCCAGAGAGGCTTTCAACTGACTTCCTGGAAAACTTGAGAACTAGTTGAAGTCAGCAATGTATGCCCCAGAAAGATTACCAACAGTATTGTTTATCAAATTTCAAATATTCTTGTAAAACGCCTGCGCGACAAATTTTACCCATGTCTCAGAGTGGGTTAAAAAGTTGTACAACCGGGTAAAGTTATCATGGCTCTGTGAACGGAGCAAATATTTTAACCGGGTGAATTAGGTAGATCCGTGAACGACTTAACCCTGCAAAAGACGCGCTCGGTGTGCACTCGGTGAGCGTCCGGCGTTCAACTGTGAACGTACTCCTGGATATGTGATGTGCCATTTGTGTCATACTCCCCTAACTCCCCCAGCATCAAATTCTGGGATACTCGAGGATCTATAGAACACTTAATTTCTTCTGTGAGAACAGACACCGGAAATCACCTTTTCTACATTTAAAATCGACGCAAAAATTAACTCACTAGCACAGCCTGAATCGCAACATGCTGATAGTGAAGCCACTCGCAGGCCCAGAATTTGAGGATGAGGGAGTTAGGGAAGTATGACACAATTGCCACATCACATAGCCCAGAGCATAATCAGATTGCTTGATTATCCTCGCCAAAAATTGCGTATATAAGCAAGCGTCGAAGTGGGCATGCGCAGTGTGTTTTTTTTTCGTAATTTGGTTTCATCTATCCTGTTTTTCTATTTTTTTTGTTTGCGACAACTAGTGCGAGCAGCAGTATAATCACTGAAATTTTCAATCTCGATGATGAAGTCAAGATCCTCTTCTTCTTCAGACAAGTCTCTCCGAAATAAAAGTCCCTAATGGCCGTTTGCACCAACCATTTTAAGGGACGTTTAAGGAAAATCTACGTTTAAAGTGACATTTTGACATGTAAAAATGTCACTTTAAACAAATGTTGATTATCGGTAAAACCTCCCTCAAAATTGTCGGTGCAAACGGCCATAACAAAATTAAATATAGGCACCAAATACACAAAGTTCATTTCGTTATTTTTGTATGGAATAATCTACACACAACCACAAAAATAACAAAAGAAATAGAAAACACGTACAAAAGGTTGATTTTTAATTAGGCAATCCAATTCATCTGTCATAAAGGAAAATTCAATATGGCGTGGCAGCCAAGCAAGTTTGTTTTGAATATGTTTTTATGCGTATTTTAAACATTTTGATAGAGTTTTGCTTGCAACTTTGATTTTGATTATTTTAATAAAATATTTGTTGACTAGGTACCTAAACTATTAAATCGGGCAGAAACTAGATTTTTTTTTTGTGTTTTTTGGCCCATGTGTGACCGCCACGCCTTCTTGAGTGTCACGTGGGTTGGATTGCCTAATACAAGAATAATAATTTGTCAGTTGTTATAGGGTTAAGTTAAGTTAAGAAACTCGAAACGTAGCCTGGCCGTTCGGTTCGGTTTCACTAATCTACTCCAGAAGCAATTTGGTCACGGCATAAAATCGCCACTCCAACTCTCCATGGCTCGATTACGAATGTCCGATACGAATCGAACAGGGATGTCGATTTTTAATCGATACTTTTGAAGATCGATTTTTTCACTATCGATTTTTTTTTAAATCGATTCTTTTTCCCTTGAATCGATCCTAACCATTTTTTGATCTCCATGAGTACTTTTAATTTTTTATTTCGATATTATATGTATATTTATTTTTGTTTTATGAAGATTTTTTTTTAAATTTTGTCCGATTTAAGAATTTATTATTAATTCAAACGTTTTTGGGAAAAGACTATACATATTTTTGTCAAGTTACTCGAGTTTTCTGACCAACAATATCAATGCCAGAATCGAAAATCGATTCTTCAAGAATCGATTTTTGTATGACCGATTTTTTTCAGAATCGATTTTTAAGGTTTCGGTTCTGAATCGTGAAAAATCGACATCCCTGAAATCGAATCCTTTATCTTTTTTCGGAATAGCCATTTCGAACGTACTCGCAGCGAGTCAACTCGGATCGAGAACCATTCCGTAGCTACTGACAGCAGGAATAAAACTTGGCAAGATAAGTTGTATTCCTTTCAAGAGTTTAAAACACTGGGCTACTCGCTCCGGTGTTAGTGGACCTCGATTTGAAAGGAACAGATGCGCTGGTTTTCATGCATTTAAATGGTTTGATTCGGGCTTGAGCGCTCAAGTGCAACAAACACTTTTCGAAAGGAATAAGCGCGTAAAGCCCAGGAGCTGTTCCGGAGCTCCTCCTAGGTGTGAAAGGAATACAACTATAAATATTCAAAACGGAAAAAGATTCACAATTTAATTCAAATTTTTGCAAGCTGAGAACGGTTATTAGAATGAATTACAGATAAATATTTAAAAGCCAAATACCAATAGCATGATAATCACCCTTGGCCAAAATGTTTCATAATTAATATGATTCTCTGTTTGTCAAAAACACACAAGATTGTCCTAATGATTCAATATGCATTCAATGATGATTGATGCATTCACATAGTAAACGCAACAATAAAGGGCTGCAGCTGACGTCATCTCCAGCGAAAGTTTTCGCATTCTTTCGGCCCCAACAGCCCGACTCGGCCATCCCGAACCCCAGCTTCTGTTGAGAGGCGAGAGGGAAAGGGTATTTACCGATATCAACTGCCAGTACTGAATACATTTGCCGTTCCGATTTCAACAGCGTACTTGTTTTGCTGCGTCGCTTTCCAGTAGCGACCTTAAATCGTAGCGATGCACTTTTAAGCACTCCCAGTTCCTCTAGAGCACCCCGGACTACTTATAGACGTTCCTGTGCATTAGAGTTTCGCGTAACTGAACTGTTTGTGTTTCCTCTCCCTGACGGCTCAAGCACCAGCAATTTTATGGGAGCATCAAAAACACGACGCTTAAAGTAGGGTGCGGTCCATTCAAACAACAGTTTTTTTGGCGTTCCAGAGTGTGAAGCTACGGGTCTGGAGCACGTTAGAGTTTGTCAATGGAAAGCGGCTGGAAAAACAGGTACAGTTTTCAGGCTCGAGTTCAGAAATAACGCGCGCTGCGCAAGGATAATACACACTACTGAGGATTGCTTATCGGCCTCGCTTTGGTAATTGCGGCTATATTGGTGTATCACTATTGTCGACGTCATTAACTAAGTTTTCAGCTGTTTGCGCCAGTGGTTCTAGATTAGAATTTAAATTTATGATGAAAAATATCATTTAATTTTGATTAACATAATAGGCAAAGCGGAGATGCAAACGAGATCTGAAAATGAGTTGTTTTAGAATGTTATTTATTGTAGTGAAACCTCGATGAGTAAAAGTAAAACCAAGTATGCATAAAGCAAAAGCCCGCGGAATAATAGCCTGTGGTGCAAACAGCCTACGTCACGGTGAGAAACGACATGTCGCCTGGCGTCACAACTGGTGATTTGTTCTACACGGCCCTTATGAGGAGTGTAGTAGTGTAGTGGTAGTAGTGGTGTGTATTATCCTTGAGCGCTGCGTTCGTTAATTAGCCGATAGCCCAGTGGCGGATCTAGAGCACCATCCTGGGGTGGTAGTGCCAAGGCCGTTAAAGAGTTAAAAATTGTGATAGGGCGTGAAAACTTTGACATAGGGCATATACTTTATATACATATACATATATATACGTTTTTGTCATATGAAACACCCCCTCGTTCCTCATACGGACAGTGTCAGTTAAAAATCGACGAACGACAATAGGGCATGCGCATGATCATTTGAAAGATAGGGCATTATTGCCCCAAAATGCCCCCCACCCCTGGCTACGGCCCTGGGTAGTGCTTCTCAACCAGTAACGGCTCGTGGTCTATACTTGAAGGGGTTCACACCCAAAGTAGACCAAGTAGGTGAAGCCCCACAGGTGCCGCCGGAGGCAGAAATTTTTTTCGGGTGCCACGCCCAAAACGCATTTTAAACCTCCAAAAAATAATTTGTGTGTTTTTTCATTAAATAAATTTTTTTACGCCTCTCTGGGGGGGGGGTGGGGTAATTACCCCCTTTTGCCCCACCCCCCCGTGGATCCGCTAGTGCGATAGCCGACCGCAAAAGGTTAATGACCGGGAGCCTGACGTACTCTGGCCCACTCAATACAAATATTTTGTTTGATCATTTAATTTTTGGTCTGGTTATTGCTTTTCTACTCTAGTATTAATAATAACAAGTCAAAAATCTGAATTACGTTTCAATTTTTCCAATAATTTTAGAATCACTCTAGCTTTTTAAATTAATACATTGATAACTAAATTACGGAAAAGTGCTTACTTCTATTTAAAGATTTTCAAAATACGAATATAAGGACTTGGGACATCCTCTAATGAAAGAACCTATAACATGTTCATAAGGCTCCTATAATTATTTTTGTTTTGACTTAATGCTCAAATTATTTCGTAATGATATATGTCCAATTGTCCAAATATAAATTAAAAATATTTTTACGAGCAACTGATGATTGCTTAATGCTTATTGACCAAAATTCATATGGTAATGTTCTATTTTATATTAGATTTGTCGAAATTTTTTGCATTACAAAAAAAAGCCAAAATAACATCATCGAATGGCTAAAACATATTATCCTCCTACACCAATAACGCATGAAACATATATGTTTCGAATGGGCCAGGTGACGTCACTACTGCAGCATGCGTTCGCGCTAAACTAGCGGAAAAAAATCGCCGTTGTAACTAAATCCTCTCCTCTTGTGGTTTAACGTACTTTTCTTGGCTTTTTGGCTAGAGTCGATCCAGTAAATAATGACGTCACTGGCGTATTGAAGACCTCATTCAGTACTGAATTACCGTGCGTTTTGATCTGAGTTCACCGAGCATAAATTTACCGTACGTTTATTTAAAAAGTGTACTAGATGCAGGCTCATTCACGTTCGTTTATGTGTTTGTTTAACTGCTCTGTGCGCTCGCTGGTCACGTGATTACGGCTCTCCAAACTACCGCTTTGGTTTGGTGTTTGCCAGTGTTTGGTTTTAGGTTAGATTTTTGATTATTTTTGAACGAATCGGTTTGTTTGCCCTTGCCCAAGCCGTGGGACAATTTTTATCGTTTATCATTAATTTCAATAATTTCAAATTTTGTCGTTGAGTCGTTACTATAATGGAATAATTATTAATTTGAATTTTCACGGTCATTGTCGCCTTCAAAAATAGAAATCCTTGTTGGGGGTGTTTATATCCATTACTTAGTTACTTTGTTTTGTTAGGGGAGGTCTCAGTTACACCACAGTAGTGTGTAGAAAATAGTTCTTCTAATCGTCATGGTAAGATTTTATTATTTTGTAGTGAGTAGCTTTGTACCTATAATATGTAACGGCTATTGTGCAAACATAAACTATCCAACACTCAACACATTGGCTATTTTGATAGAAAACTCAATTTCCACTAAAATAGTAACTAGTTTGTAAACTAACCAAGAGTACTGGCCTCGGTACTGGCTATTTACTTGAAATTATAAGAAAACTAAAATAGCTGGTTAGTTTATATCTTATCCAGTTAAAGATAAAAGAAAAGACAACCTGGCTAATATAAAATCCATAATACCTATCTATACTAAATCCAACGAAGCTACGGAGTGCACCAAAACATTGTCATGCATAGTGCACGTGATCCCTCAGTGAGGCCTGGGCAGATGTGCTTGTACAGAGTCGCACTCGCACTTAGGGACCATCGAAATTTTATCAAATTTTATTAAATACCTAATATGCGACTAGGTATGGAAAAATTACTCAAAGGTTAACTAATAAAGAAAAACAAAAACCATTTTGTATATACATATAACATTTAATGAAGTACAAAAAAATGGGGACATTTCTATTTTAGGAGGACAATTGATAAACGGGTTAACAGTTTTCGATTTCAAAATTATGTTTATTTAATACTAGCGCAAAAATAATAAAAAATAATGATAAAATAATAAATACTTTTGTCATTTTAGTCCAGTTACTCAGAATCCGAAGAACTGCTAGAAGATTCATTAGGATTAATTATTATCGGATTTCTATCAACTAATTCATCAACTATGTGATCTAATTCTAACATTTTCACTTCTACCTTATCTTTTACATGTCCTACGCAATTATTCCATTTTTCAGCAGTGATAGACAAAACAGCTTCACTGAAAATATTTTTAAGATCGCAAAATTTAAAAGTAACATTTTTGTTTGCAACATAGTTTTTTATGTCCGCCCAAATAAGCTCTATTGGGTTGAGCTCGCAGTGATAAGGGGGAAGACGTAATACTACTCTATTATGTGCTTTAGCAATTTCGTCGACAATGTATTTATTATATTTGGTTTTATGTTCCTTCACTTTCTGCAAAAGTTGTACTTTTATCATGCTATCCTCGAATGGTATACTTTTCGAACGCAACCAGTCTTGAATTAGGGCTTTTTTTGTGGCTGTAGTTGGAATTTGTTCAGCTTTTCTTGAATGGTATGGGGCGTTGTCTAAAACAATTACACAATTTTCTTCTAGGTTTGGAATTATGTTGGTAAACCAATTTTCAAACGATTTGCCGTCCATTTCCTCATGATAGTCGCCCGTTTTCTTCGACTCAAAGGCCCACAAGGCGTCGGGTACAAACCCGGTTTCGCTTCCTATGTGACACACTATCAACCTTTTTCCTTTTCCTGAAACAAGATTTATTTTGTTTTAGTTGAAACAGAATATTTACATGCATAAAACATATTTTTTGGACTATTTCCTGAATAAAATGTGCTGCGAGGCAGACAAAAAAAAAATTTGATTTAATCGTGTCCAACCAAACACAAATAATCGAAAACCAGTTACCAAAGACAACATCAGCACCCTGATGATCTTCATTGGGGAGGCTGCCAAAAAGGCCCTTTAGTTCCATTGTAAACCAATATTAGTTGTATTGTCGTATTGAATGAATTTAACCCAAAATGGAATTAATAAACGTATTGAATTGAATTGAATTGAACTTAACATTTCATACTATACCAACACATTTTCGTTGTTACCTGAATTTTAACTAATTGATCGAACGGTAAGATGAAACCCTTCCAATTCTCTACGATTTTAATGAATACAGAAAATAATTAATAATAAACTTTCTTGGAAAATACACAGGTAGATACATACTGTGGGTCTATTTTTCATAGCTAACAAGTAATTTTAGACCCTTTTTGACCATCGCTTACTAATAGGTTTTGGTACCTACAAATCGAGGTTTAGGCCATAAAGTTATTGTAAACCAAGTAGAATACAATTACTTTATGGCCCTAATCCTCGATTTTTGCTATCAACAGCAATGAAATAGACTATACCAAATTTCAAATCAATACCTAATCCAAATGCAAATTATCTTGTTCACAGACACACACGTTAAGGTTAAGAGTTTAATAAGGTCTTACCTGATGGGTTCTTTAACCCAGTTGAGAGGCCATCTAAGAAGGCTTGCCTTGAAGAACCTACGGATTCATCAACCCAAATTTTAGACTTAGTGTGGCCTGCGTTCACCCACGTTTCATCCAGGTAGTAAATTTTCCTATTTTCTCTTCTATATGCCCGTATTTTCGTTAAATAATCTCGTCTCCACAATACAATTTCTGGTTTCTCGAGCAACAAACTATTTCTCCCTCTTTTTTTAAATTTAAAACTTAATTCTTTCAACAACTTGTGGAATGTCGACCTTTTGAAATCTGGTAGATCAGGATCATCATTTACATCTTTGAGAATTGAATCTATTGTTGGCATTTGGTTCCGGAAAATAATTGATGTACTTTCCTTCTGATAGCGTTTTTTATCAAAATCGTCTACCTTGTCAATAAATTTCTTTCGTAAGGGGTATGGCTTTAAATCCGAAAATAATTGCTTTTGTTTAGATTCTCTCATAACGGCATAAACACCACTTGGAGACACTCCAGCAATGTTTCCTACTTTTCGCACGATTTCATCAACTAACAATTCGGGATTTGCTTCGACTTCATTTTTGTAAATGTTCATAATTAAATTTTTTTCATTACTATTGAAAGGCACTTTTTTTGGTCTCTTTTGAGGTGGAGTGTTGAAACACATATTAGCAGCTTCTTCATCCGACATTTTAATAATTTAAAACTTTAAAACTAATAAAAAAAATCACTACTAAATATCCCGTAAAATGTAACAGCGACCCTGTAACGATTAGGCCAAAAGCAATAAGTTCCCCTACCTTGGAAGTCCCCTACAGATTGCAGGTAAATCCGATTGGCCAGCGTGAGGGGTTTGTTTATTTTAGCCCAATAGATGCAAAGCCACGTGCCGATCATGCTTCGATCACGCACGGAAAGTGTTTTGGCCCGCTTTTTTGGTTCCATGGATATAGTATAGTTACACAAAATAGCCAAGGCTTTGGCTACTTTATAAACTAACTAGGCTTGCCTAATGTTCATGGCATTTCTCTCGGCATTTCTTCTTTGACAAATTAAGACATGAATGAATGTAATTTTTTTAAAAATTTTCTATATTTGCAAGGGCCCCCTCAGAGCTTCCGTAACATAAAAGGTTATGAAAATAGACCACAAAAAACTGGAGAATGCACTCGGATTTCGTTTGTTAGCCAGGTTCAGATCCATTTCGTTTTTGGGTTTCACAACAGTATCTTTTTGTTTTCGAGTTTATTTTTAAAAGTGGATGTTGATCTTTTTATTTAATTCAGATTTTTGATAAGGGTTCTTGTTTTGTTTTGATTTTGATTGATTTTCTATTCACTCAATCATATTCTTTTGATTGAAATGAAAATATATTTTTCAATTTACCTGCATGTCTGAAAGATTAGATTTCGGCTTTGACATCGATGTTTTGATTACCCGCCCGAAAAACAATCCGCTGGAAGGATAGGATTTTAGTCCGAGAGCTTATTTGAAAATAAATATGCTTTTTCAACTATAATTTTGTAGTGTTTTCTGCAACTTTATAAGGATTTATGAGATCGAAGTAAGCTAGTTTGAATACGCCTTTTGAGACATTTTGATTTTTTTTAAAATTTTTAAAACAGGTTCGCGGACAATTTCTAAAAGTATGTTGTGCTTAGAATGTCAATTTTTGTATTTCCATAATGTTTGGTGTGGTAAATTGGTTTTTTCGCCGTGAACTGGACAATTTTGAGGTGAATAGACCCTGTGGCAGGACTAATAAATTGAAAATACATGTAGTTATATGGGATCAAAGACGGCTAGAGCCGTTATTTGCTTATAGAAGAAAATTAGGGTGACTGGTATAGACATCATGTCCTAGGCAAGGGAGAAGAATATGACGGCATTAGCGTAACACTTTCACGACCACTATTATGAAATTTGACGATGCTCGAAACCAACCGCGTTTTTTTGGGTAGCATAACTTTTGACAGAAATTATACATTTTTTACAGGTTATATGTGTTTTGTTATATATTTTTTGTAATAACATTCATTGTCACATATATGTGACATCGGTTTCCGATAAGTTTTCCATTAAAATTTACCAACTGTCACGATGGCAAACCGTGCGACACACATGTGTGACATAAACTGTTAGCTGTTCTAGACTCTCGGCTACGCTGTATAGGCGATAATTATTGTTCAATATCCAGTGAGTGTTACCTTGTAACGTGAAACTCCAGTAGGAGATTCTAGAAATAACAGAAATCCGCATTAGTTGGGAGATGATATGAATCGAGATATGAACCAAAGCTGCCACAATCTTATGACTGAAACAGATTATCCAATCCTGAAACCATGCGACACAAATGTGTGCCAAACAGTCCTAGAAACTGATGCCAAAACACATCTGTCGCCGTTGAACCGCCCGGGAGTTATTTGCATTCAATCATTGAAGGGTCATTGTCACTCTTGTGTGACATCAGTTCCTGACAAAAACTGCTTGTCACATATGTGTGACGCGTGGTCGTGAAAGTGTTAATGTTAATGTGAAAGCACAATGCGCATACAGATGTTTCAAGCATCTAGGTGCATTAACTCAATTCATTGGAAATCTATAAAATATTACTAGTCATCATAAGGCATTACATATTTTTATTTTTTTATTTTATATATTGAAGCAAGAAATTTACAGTTCGGTATTAGTTAACTAGTTTGTATTATTATTAATAGTACATTCATTTGGACCATCTAAATAGGTTAATAAATATTAGGTATTATCATGGCTTAAATCTTTATATGAATATGTTATTATTAGTGTGGATGAAGCCAGTTATTAAAAGAAAAATGACTCTTTTATCTCTTGAAAGCTTTCGCGATATTTTTTATTGCTTCTTCGGTCAT